GGGGGGCAAACATAAACTTCAATACAGATGAGTCACATCCGGTTGCTGCATGTGACGTTCGTGGATATAGAGCAATGGGAAACGGTTCAAGTAGCTGTCAGCAATAAGCCCGCCACGCGCACCAAAAACACTACTCCATGAGAAAGCGAAACATTCATCGTCCCTAAAGAACTCAGCTCCATCCCCGTGTATTTGTATAGGGATCAACCTAGAGAAATCTTGGTGTGGGTCTGCTAGAATCTCATGGTCTTTCCAAGGCTCCAACTCTTTGCAGTGAAGCCAAAACTGTTTGACATCCCTTGGGCTGAGGCCCCCCAAACATGATTGACTCGAAGCAAGATCTCGCGTTGCAAGTAGCCAGAGCGTGTATGACTTCGTGTGGTAGAAGCATGGAGACTGCTGATCGGGTCTCCTTGATACCGTTCACCTGGCAGGCGTCGAAGTACATGGAACTTTCAGCTGTATTGGGACTAATTGAAGCTGCCCTCTCACATGACCCACAAACATTTGTACATAGAAATCCATATAAATCCATCATAATCATACTTTGGATATTCTCGCATGTTTGATCTAACGCGTAACATGCTTCGAACATGTTTTGTAACCCTGATCCTTCAAGTCAATCCAAACTTTGTAAGGTTGAAGCTTCAAACCAAATAGGTTGCAAAGCCACCGGTGCAAGTCTCTCTCCGCGTTTGATTGACAATCACCAAACGCACCTAGCGACGCTAATTTCTGGATGGCTTCATGGTCAACGCCATCACACAAGACAGCACGCGCCACATCTGTGGCGCAGGCCACATCGATGCGACCCCGTCCCACAAGGTCCAATAAGGTGTCAACCGTCTTGCTTTGTTTCATATGCTCCACCTTTTTCCACTTGGAAGACCTGGAGAGGTGTAAGCTCGCAAGACGCGCGTTCTATTCAAGCCCTAGCTACTGTTCATGATGCAAGATCATCATCCAAAGGACACTCCAAAGAAAATGAGAGGAACTGCTAAGAAGTGAGCTATTTCAAACGCACATTGCACTGTGGGTACATGTATGCGCACGTGTGCACCTAGACTTTACCAGAGCTCTAGGGTTCGCAGCTGTTCACCTGCCTGGTCTCCAAGAGGAGTGTAGAAGCACCTTGCAGTGAGTAACCACAAGGTCGCACATTGTTTCGCAAGTGGTGAAGGGTTCTCACACGGACGATTGTCTTTTTTGATATGTCTGCAGTGAAGGATGGTGAAGATCTCACACACCTCTTTTTGGACTCTGCGGCTAAGGTATAGCGCTGGTGGTGTGCCAAGCTGTGCGTAGCTTGTGGAAGGCCAGGGTCGTGCGATCCGCTTTTAAACACTATAGCACTTGGAATTGGTCGTCCCTGAGTTGCAACAACTTGAGTCCATAATCAAACCAAGAGCTCAATGCATTCAAACTGTTTTGCAAACAACGGAGCACGGTTTAGCTGACCTCATTGGACACCATAGGCCGACATGTACCACAGATTTCATATCTACCCATGTTTTGAAGCGTTGCTTCAAGGAATGAACCCCAGAGATGACATGACACATTGTCACATCTCACTTGGAACGACGTCCTTTCTTCCCAGCAGGATTTCCCGCTTTCTCTTCCTTGTCTTTGTTGCCCTTCTCACCATCTCTCTTCTTCTTGTTCGCCGCTCTCTTCAAGCCAGACAAGATGGAATCCGCTGCTGCCTGACCCAAGTGAAGGACCAATTGAAAAAGTCACAAACATGTTCTTGCCCCATAGAATATGACCTTGCCTAGGGCCGAGGATTTTTCATCAAACGTTCTTTGTTTACTTCTTGTTGACCTTTTCACTAAATGATTTGATCTGATTTGATATGTTCTTGAGTTTTCCACCAAACGGGAGGGAGAGAGCAGGAAGATGAACGACAAAAACACCCTCCCAGCCTCAGCCGTTGTATACCACAGCCGCCGCTTTTGGATTTGGGCGAGGCATGCCTGGTAAGAGGTCTCGGTCATGGAACCCTCTTTGGTCGCTCGCTGCAAGCTCTTGTAGTCTTTCTCCAAGCGTTCTGCATGTTGCAACAGCTGGGACGACAACTCCCCTGCATAGTTGACAGAACCCAGCGACATTGATTTCTTTCGAGCTGCCACACTCTCAGCAAGGACATCAGCCATCAAGTCCTGCGCAAGCTGCACAATTGTTTTGGGCTTTGCCACCTCAGACCCTGCGTCCTTCTCCTTTTCCTTCTTCTTCTTTGGCGCTGCTGCCACTGACTCAGAGAGAGCTGCACGCAAGGCTTTCTGCCCAGCACTGCTTGCAGCGTGACCTTCTGGTAAGGCGCCCTGTCGCATCATGCCGGTTGTCTCGTCAGTCAGGGCCTTCAGCATGTCATTGTTCAAGTCAGCGTCACCTCGAAGAGAAGTTGAATCAGACACACTTTGTCGCTTGTTGATTTCCTCCGGTTTGCGCATGTAGTAGAAGCGCTCTAACTGGTCGTCGGGGAAGTCCTCACTGTTGTAGTAGAGGCCATCATTGAAGCGGCGATCCATCAAGCTCTTTGCCTTGGCCTCCCCGAATTCTTTCACTAGATCTTTTCCGGCCTTGGCAACCCATCCTGACAAAGACTCGTTCTCGGTTTTGTGGGTCCGCTCAATGATCATCCTGCACTGATCCCAATTCCTGCCAGCGTCCAACCAAGCTCCAAACAGATCTGTTTTGCACTTGGTGACATAGCTGGAGAGGTCGCAGGGGAAGTTCTTGCGATTCTGGATTGCCCGGTCAAAGGCGTCCCACTCCCGTTTGTGTGTCTTGCCTCAGAGGCATGAATTGCTAATCAAAAGACCTTTTTGAAGTATGGGAAAAAGATATCATGTGTGTGCACAGCAATACCCCTATTGTTGGAAACAAAGCAAAGAAATGTTGATATACCTAAACTCGAATCAGCCACTGTTCCTCACCAACTGCAAACCTGCAGCGCTAGACGTAGTAGCACCCTCATCTCCAGGAGAGTCGACCTTCACCAAGGCTAGCTGGTTCTGGTCATTCTTGGAGGTCTTGTCCTTTTTCTCCACCTCCTCCATTTCCTCTTCTTCATCCTCCTCCTCACCGTCATCACTTTCACCCCCAGACGATTCCTCATGCTCTTCACTAGACTCACATGCTGAGTCATCGTGCGATGAACTAGATCCTTCTTCTTCCTCATCATCACGGCCGGAATCCTCATCATCATCATCTTCATCATGACCTTTAGGCTTGACTGCTTGGAGCACTGTGTTCAGTGAGGTGTCAGACTCCGCGTCACTGCAGGACTCTTCTTCTGCAGTCTCTTCCTTCTGCCTGCGCTCTTCGATTTTGAGTTTCAAATCAGCAAGCTTCGCTGCTTCCTTTGCTTTAGCAGCAGCTTTTGCGTCTTTGTCTTTGGACTTCCCCAGAGCTGACGGTCGCTCCTTCACTTCTTCTTTCTCCACTTTCTCCATTTTCGTTTTGTTCTTCTCGCTTGACTGACTTGCACGCTTCTCCTTCTTTTCCTCATTCTTTTCTTCCTTCTTTTCCTTCTTTTCCACCTTCTTGTCTTTGGTAGACTTCTCAGTCTTTTGTACTTTCTGAAACTTGGGATCCAAACATCGAGGTCTGGGACCCGGGATCTTGGCGATGGACTTCTTCACCTTGTCCTTTCCCTTACCTTTGATGTAGCCTGGCTCCCCTGCCTCAGGCGGCGACTTTCCATCCACGCGAACTCTGGGCGGCTTCGCTGGTGGAGCTCGAGCTTTCCCCATTGAGGCAGGAAGGCGAACTCTATGTGCAAGGGAGGCTTGGGCAACAGGCTTTGAAAGAGCGACGCTGAAATCTAGGAGCAGCACCTTTAGAGATCATTGGAAAAAGAGACATCTTTTAGAAGAAGCTTCAAAAGAAGAATAGGGTTAAGATCTCTTGTTTTGCTGTGACAGACAACTGAAATACAAATCGCACGTGAATTCTCGGGCCTCTGAATCTAGCTACACAGCGAACGTGAAGTCTCGGTTGATTGCAGGTTGAAATCTCGAAGACACAGACACACACACCCATGGTTTTTGGTATCTTTTGTGAGATTCTACAGATCGCACGTGATCTCGGCAAATCGCACTAGAGTTCTCGACAGGTCGCACGTTTTCTCGACCGTGTTTTCCCCAAAAAAAATTGCAAAAAAATGCGCGAGGCTGCAGATTAGAGCTGGCACCTCTCTTCAACGCTGGAAGCCGCTGCATTGGCCCTCCTGGAGACATGGAGAAGGCTGAGAATGAGCATTGGCTGCACGGGTCAATGGGGAAGGGCTGTATGCAGGCATCTAATAGGGACCGCTATACCATAGGCCCTCAGCTCCACATCCAAGCTTGGAAACACTAATCATACGAAAGGCAGGAAAGGTGAAGACATGAAGTCAGTTTTCCTTTTGCTTGCACCATGGACTTGGTGTCTCGAGCTACCCCAGGATACGGATCTGGTTCAATCCACACTATCCAACATCTAATTTGGAAATGAGCAATCTCACATCCATGCTTTGCAGGGATGAAGGGGTTGATATCAATCAGCCCCCAGTTGCTTTGAAGCCAAGAAATGAAGCGCCGATGCCAAATTGGCATGTTTCATCCAATGGGCATGGGTCGCTTTGCTGCGATCCAACACATGCTCTGTCTTGAAAGATGCTCGCAGGAAGCGGCAGGCAGCATTGCGAATCCTCTTCTGGTTCCTGGTCCTGACTTTGGCTACTGCCTTGCCGAACCTTGGCACGGAGACGCATGGAGGATGGTGTTGCAACCAATGATCATGGAGACTTGGTGTTTGAGGGGTAGACTTGATCTTGGGAAAGCTATTTATGGAACACGATGCCACACTTAGTTCAAGCCACTGCCTCGGGTATGCCTGTGACATACGAAGGTCGGATCCCCCTTTGCACCTGGCCTTGCCACTCCCATCGATGTACTTCACCGTCATTTGCGGTCTGTCTGAATCAGCAAGCTGCAGCGGTGGCCGCCGCTCTTCTAGAAGATCATCGATTTCAGAATGACCTGATTTTGTATAGGTAGGCAGAGAATTGGACCGCCATGTTTCCCTAAATACGGTGTACTGTTTAGGTATATCTTCACCTTTTGAAATGAACTGATTTTGCAAACACATGCTTTAGTGTATGTCATTTTGGGGAAAGCTTTCTGAAACCTTGCAACAAAGACACTCGAATAAAGGACAGTTGGTTTCTTTGAGGGCCCTCCAAAGTTTGCCATGTCAAAGTGCAACCGCCTAACTTCTAGGAGCTTGAGCATCCTTTGGAAAGTTGGATGGAACTCCATGAGGGAGGACCTTGGTTGCTCTAGCAACCACCAACATGCCTTGGCCGAAGCCAGCAAGCACAAGATCATGACTCTGGCAGTCATCACGTTGCCAGCGCATACCTTCTCGGAATCCCTCCTCCCAAGAGGTGACCCTCTGGTTCGCAATGTAGACCCCATGCTCCTCGCATCAAGACAAGAGATCTATGAACGGAAACGCTTGGGAATACTGCTTTATGAATACCAAAAGAAATACATCTTTCCATTCTTTCAAAACCTAGTTGGGGTATATGAACACACTTGGGACGCACCAGCAACATTGTGACATTTGTTAAGCAAACACCAGAGGGCATGAAGATCCATGTGGAGCAAACTGGAGCATGCAGGCTACCTGCCCCAATGCGTAGGCGCAGGGTTTGGTATATGGCGTTTGCGAAGCCCTGGTCGGTCAAAATATCTTGAGAGGCAGGGTCAAGGTTCAGCTCAAATGGCACTGCGGTTCTTCCAGCCTGGGATGGTGGACATACTGCACGGTTGCGCTAGGTACCAAGTATCAAGTATATATTCTCTCCTACCTTTGAAGGTAAGTCCTGCAGATTGGGTTGCCACACCCATGCAATGTGTTTACTACTGTGTTTTTGCAAGGACCCAAGCAAAACATACCAACAAACAATCTAGCTACTGCAATCTCGCCCTTGGTGATCGACTGATCGCCTGCGAAGGTCTCGAAATGGTCTATAGGAGACCAATCCAAGCCACCGCAAGTGAAGACCAAAGTTGCAAGTAGCGCCACAACCTCGAGACGGCAAATTCTTTAGCGCTTGCTCAGAACCCACACTTTGGTATACTTTGGTTAGTGGTCTTGAGGGAAACTAGTCTATTTTTCCACTTCATCCACTTGGATGTAAGGCAATGACAACTGACCCGCCCAAGTCCCTTCTTGCCTCTCAATTTTAAGCTCGTTTTCAAGGACTTGGGGGGGGGGGCGTTTTCACGACCCACAAAAAGAAGAAATCGCTTTGCAACAAACCCACAAAGAGGTATTCTTTGTTGAGCATAGGAACAGATGGAGCTCGAAGGTGCCTCAGGCCTTGAAGCACAACGTTCCGCATCATGTTCTTCCCTGATTTCCTTTTCACTGCCATCAAACTAGGACTCTTTCTCTGACCATGCTTACCTTTCTGAACTCCAAAGGGCATGGTGGAAGTGCGCTTGCCCATTGCAGCGCACCAAGGACGAACTGTTTTGGAACGCTGGTCGCTGTGAGCCTCGACTATATTGCATGATACTTTGCAACATGGTGTTTGGACCGACTTTCGCTTTTTGCTAGCCCATGCAAGGCTAGCTCACATGCACACTAGTGCAAACATCTCGCGACTGACTTTGGGTCTTGTCAGTCCTTCTCAGAGATGGAGTTCTCAGATCCTGCATGAAGAAACAAACCAATGGAAAGGATTAGAGGAACACCTGAATGCTTTGAGTTTTTGCGTTGCGCTGCTGTAGGAGCGCTTTGAGAACCATAAAAGAGAATGGATAGGGATGTGTTTTTATTGAACTTGGACCTCACCATGCTGCGCAGCCTTCGTTTGCACTCTGTCTCAAAAAGACTGGAACACTTGACGCTTTGAGGAAGATCCCACGAAAGCTGGACCCTGCACTTCAACACACTGGACTTCACAGATTCAGTGGCCTTCCATCGCAACTTGGCCAGCGAAGGTGGCGGCATGGCCTGCGTGGATAGCTTTCGCTCAGATTTGTTTGATCCTATATGGAAATGAAAACTGATCGTATATGACCCTGCAAGAGGCTTTGATTTTCATCGGACTTTCCATGGTGAGGAACAGTCACCTATTCAACACATGAGCTTTGCTCAGAGGCTACATCTTTCCTGTAGACTCTGCTACACTAGGCTCTCTGTGGAACCCCTGAAGCATACAGCGAAGTGTATGTAAACATTTGCCCCGGAGAGAACTCAAAAAGATCTCAGTAAGGATCTACTCATAGTGAGCTTTCTTCTTTGCCACCTCCCACGCTTCCTTAGGGCCATTGTGCAGTGACCAACTGACTTGACCCTTGGCCCCTTCAGCGGCCCCATTCCCACAGCGCTTGACGTAGTAAGCTTTCTTGTTGAGCAACACCTCAATGGCCTGGGTTAATTGGCATCGGAGCGTCTAATTGGTGGTTTTGGTATCTTCTTGCGAAAGTAAGAAACAGAAAGCATATGGACATGTACGGATATATACGTAAAACTATAATATAGTATAGACGCATAGATAGATAATATATACCTAGATATAGACATACATACACCTATATGTACAATATATATATATTGGGATATATATAGTTTACGTGCAAACGCTTCTTCCCTAACAGCTGATTGGTTTGAGACCCTTTGTGAGACAAGGAACCGCGTTCGTCTTCTCAGAAACCATTGTATAGCCACGCTTACCCTTGTACTCTTTGTCGACCGTGCACCAGGCTTCTTTGGGGATTCCCAATGTCTTGAGATTGTAGGTCTTGAAGGTTCCAGCGCAGACCTCTTTGAGGTGGTCCTTAGACACCTTGCTGACAGCCTTGCCCTTCGCCGCCTTGCTCCTCTTCTTAGTGGATGGAGCCTGCGGAAAGACGGGAGGGTTTGGGATCGCTGTGCGTGGACCTGAAACAAAAGTCAGTGGCCGTAGATGGTGACACTATAGATCAAACAAGGGGCGTGCTGTTTACCTGGGATAGCAATCTCATGGGAGAGGAGCTCTTTGGTGGCATGAAAACCATAGGGTAGACGAACCGACTTCTTCCCATACACTGTAATGGCGTCCTCGTCGTCGATGGGCGACGGCAACTCCTCCTGAAGCATGAAAGATCATGAACGTATTTTGAAACAGCATTGCTACCTTTGTTTATTGGAGTCTGCGGTCGCTGATCTGACCAGGACTCATGTAAACAGTATATTGCATACCGTTTGTTTGACCATCAGCTAAAGGAGCTACTATCCATGAAACAGGAACACTCGTTTTTTGCACAAGTTGGCTCCTTCGCATGAGTCAGACCTGCACGGTGTGGCGCGGCCACAGGTCTGGCAGCCGACGATGATGCCTGCAAGGAATAAGCGAGCAGGAAGAGGAAAAAAGGAACATTGGGATATGAACCGCCGTTGCAACTAGGTTGGGGGCCATCGCTAGTAGGTTGGAGGCCGTTGCAAGTGGGTTGAAGGCCGTTGCTATAGAAGGTTGGAGGTCTTAGTGATGGCTGCAGGCCGCTGTTTTTTTGGCTTCTTGACTTTTTGAACTATATATTTTTTGAAGATATATATATATATATATATAACCAATAGAAGTGTAATACGCTGGACAGTATTGCGCACATGAGAAGTTTAGCAAGAACGAATACTGTTTGCCCTCACCTCACCAAGCTTGGCTGTGCGGTAGAAGCGCCAGTGCTTTGCAGTGCCAAAAGCTAAAGTTGATGGCGTCTCCCCTTCTTCGCTCCGTGCTTTCACGCAAAAGTAGAGGTAATCTTCGAAGAGAGGATCCCTGCAACACAGCTTTTGTGACTGGGTTACCAAACAGAAAAAACAAAAGAAGTGTGCGTGGCTAGCTCTGGCAACATGGTAGCGGAGTGGTAGCGGAGGCTTAAAAGCATTTGCATTCCTCTCGCTTGCAAACATCCATGCCAAGGATGCCATGCCACAGGATGTGTTGAAGGCACAACAACACCTACAAGACAACTGAAAGCAAAACAGGTTCCACAATGATGACACCCAGCCGCCTTACATCCTGCTTCGTGAAGGTGCCCTTGTAGTCCTTGCCAGATGGTCGCCGGTCGACCATCCACTCAAAAAGAACTTCCAAAGGCACGGGCGTCTTCTCAAGCGTGTCCTCCAAGCAAAGTGCCTGATAGGCTTCAGACATCCATGCGTCTGGCCGCTGAGAATCCCTGAGGTCCACATCTGCGTCTTCCATGGCCACATCACTACCGCTCAAAGAGTCAGCGTCGCCTTGCACAATTTCATTGAACAAGACGCTCATAGATCTTGACCCACGCTTGACTCAAGCAAACCATTGACATGATTGAGTGGCTTACCGTGTGCAAAAAACAAGTTCAGGGACCTTTCGAAAGTGGACAGCCCTGTGACGCGCACATGCTTGCAAAAACTGGGAAACAATTTCAGTTAAAAGGACCCCCCCAATGGTTTGGCATTGAACTCTCTTGAACGGTCTCTCCAAACCAGCTCAACACAGATTGAAAGTTTTCTGATGTTTTTGGTTCCTAGTTACTCCCAAGTCCTGGCAGTTCCAAAGTCGTCGACAAAGATTCTACACCGCCTGGGGTGTTGGGAGCTTTGTCGCCAGGGTCGTTGGGAGCAACATCGCCAACAGGAGCCACGCCTTCATCCTCACTGGGCGCCTCATCTTCTGAAGACTTGGCGCCGCTGTCGCCGTCATCCGCATCATCATCAGAACCAGCCTTGCATGGTTGAGGCACAAAGTCGCAAAACAATATGAAAGAAACATTACACTGAAGAATGTTCTATCCATATTCAACCCTTCATGACAAGACTGTCTCAAACATCAGATGGGTAACGTCTGACCCATGGTTTGGTGAGGCAGGCAAGCGCTTGCGAGATGGACTTGGTCTGAGCATTCCCTTTAGCTCAGACACTCGTGGATGCTGGCCCGAAGGGCTCGATCTCCACAACGCGCGCACTGCCCCCATCAATTTCTTCAACTTCACAGCCTCCTCGGCAGCCATGTCAAGCTTGCTGCCAGACGCACCCACCAACATCTTGCCCTGGAACAAGTCATCCAAGGCTAGCAGGCAATCTGTCAGAAAGTATCCACTGCACACCTTTGAACAGAAACAAAGCCAGGTGACATCTGATCTAGTTTCGTGCAGATTCAAAAACACTTGAGAACAAACATGAACAAACCCATGGGCCGCAAAACCTGTAACAATGTTGTTATCCTCTTGCAAGCCTTGTCTGGAGAATGAGTGATGACAGGCTTGAGCATGTGGTAGTTGATGGCCACATCGGCAGCGGCTGGCCTGCAAAGAGCGCTATCCAGCCTCACAATGGAGCCACCATGCCATTCATCATTGTTGATGATGCTGTGAGCGCTGTGAGGGAGCCCATCGAACATGTCTTTGGCTACACGTCTGACATCCTCTTCTGACCAAGCAACCTTACCAGGGCCTTGGCTTTGTCAAGGCTATCAAAAACACCACCAGAAATTATTTCATCAACAGATTGCCCAAACAAACACTACTGT